CTGGGAAAGGCACCCCCAAGAGCCGAGCCCAACTTGGGGGGAATTCCCAGCCAGCTGGGAGCCTCCTGTGTCCACTCATGTCCCAACAGCACCTGGGGCGCCTGAGAGAACCAGGAGAGGCTCGGCCGGCCCTGCGCCTTGACTAGGGGCCCTGTGGCCGCTGGGGGTGCGTCCCTGAGCAGGCTGCAAGCCCGGTGGAAGCACGGGGGGTGCATTCCTTAGGCCCCTTGAGTGGGTGACCTACCAGCTCTGCAGGGTGGGTTTCAGGACGTAAAGGGCAGGCGGGTTGGAGAAGGCAGCGGTCAGGGCCACCGCCAGCCAGAAGAGGGTTTGAGGGTCTCATAGTGGGGGCTGCCCGCCCGCTGCCCGCCCAACCAGCCGGCAGAGCTCAGGTGAGAGGGGACAGCCGGGGCCCGGGAAAGCCAGAGGACCGTCCTTCCTGCGGCCCCCAAGTCTACCCAGAGGGCTCTGGAAACAGAGCCCTCCCCTGCCAAGCCACACTGGTAAGACAAGCCGGGGACCCTGGGCTCTGGCTGCCGCCTTGACCAAGCTGTCATCATGAGTAATAATTATACCAGTGACTCCCAAGCGATCCCCTCCCCCACGGCCACCCCCTCGCTGGCGCAGAGCTGCGAAGCCACCATCTCCCTGCCTGGCAGCAACCTCCACGGCTCCCTGCCCATTTCCGTCCAAGTCCGATGACCACCGGCTCTCTGCTGGCGTCTGTCGTGCGAGGGACCCCGGAAGGCACAGCTGAGATCCGGCTTGCCCGCAGGGAAACCCAAACGGGGCTCACCCCCATGTCGGAGCGGCTGGAGGTGTGAGGCCGGGCGGCGGGGAGAGCTGGCGCGGGGTGACTATGCACTGTCCGGCTGTCACGGCTGGGGCAGGGGCTCCGGGGAGGAGGGAGGAGCCGGCGCTGTGGGCAAAGGCCCCTACCTGGGCCCCGGGGCCCCCTGACACGGCAGGGGTCAGGCTGGGCGGGCTGTGCGGCCGGTCAGTGTCATTCCGCTCTGCTGGAGAGGCTGCTAGTATTTGGCCAGTTCCTCCTGGTCCCCTCTCCCGCCCTGTCTCTGCGGTGCCGGGCACCATCTCCACGAGGGACAGGGAGTGAGGCCGGCTGCCCTGCCCGAGGCCACGCAGTGAGTCAGGGCCCCAGAGGCCAGTCTGGCCGCCCCCGAGCCTGGTGCCCGGCCAGCGACACCCAACCTTGTCAGTGCTGTTTCACTGGCCACTGTCTCTGCACCCTCCAGAACTGACCAGAGTCTGCCCAAGGCCCTGCTGCTGAGCCAGCAGGAGCATCTTGGCTCTGGCGACTCCCTCCCCTACCCTGCAGCCTCGGTCACCAGCGACATCAGGGCCACGTGGCCCCAGCCCGCGAGTCCTGGGCCGGGGGACACTGGGCATGGGAGCCCCACCAGGAGGGGCACCCTGGGTGTGCGTTCCCCCCGCCCAGGTCCACATTGTCACTGTGTTGGTGTGCAGGACTCAGAGAGTGGGTTCCATCAGCTCGGTGGACTCCATGCGAGAGATCCCCAATCCCAGGGCCCTCTGAAGCGCATTGCGGGGAGCGGATAAGGCCGACGCGTTGGGAACTTGTCTCTGAGGGAGGTGCCAGGCCAGGAGGCTTGCACCCAGCGCACAACCCCTGACATCTCCTGCCAGCTGATTCCCAGATAAACCCGCCCTGGCTAGAGTTGTGGGGTCCCAGAGCTAGACCCCCATCCTGAATGCGAAGTGTGATTCTCCGGAGACAGTGCTCCCCCGCAGCCCCCTGCACGGGCCTGTGGTCAAAGCCAGGGGCTGCCTGTGGCCTGGTGGCAAGGAGCCCATCCTGCCCAGCTCTCCGGGCAGAACCTTGACCGCTCAGGCCTGACCACCACGCGTGCGCTTCTGGGAACGGCTCCCCCACGGAACACCCCGTCTTCTCGTGGCTGAGCGTTTCTCTGCGCCCTGTTTGGCCAGCGCTGCCCTCGGGGGCCTGAGACAAGGGCTTAGGACTGGGAAACCGGGTGGGAGACGTGGCCACTGGAAAGAGGGGCCATTTTTAACCCAGCTCGTCCCACGAGGGAATTTCCATTTCCTCTTCCTCTCAGCAAATTCTCAACTCCCTCCACGTTCTCTTTCAGGGGGCCCTAACTGGTTCTTACAAATGGTCCCACTGAAATCCAAACCTGGTTTCTTCTATGTTCCACCGAGGTCCTCATTATGAAAATAGAGTCAACGACAACCACCGTTTCAGGGCACGGGGGTGGGCGTGTATGTGGAGTCTCTCAGTCCTGAAGCTCAGGTTTGAGTCACCCCTCTCCCCCAAGAGGGGAGCTGGGTGTGTCCTCCCTAGCAGAAGCTGGGCCCCACCAACATTTCCCCTGGGATCTGCCACTGAATATAAATGGGATTAAATGCGCCCCAAGCAATCCGTAGGTGCTATTGCACCCCATGAAGGTGTTGTGAAAATGAAAGCGTCCACCTTTTTGTTTGTAGGCAATTACCTGCCCTGGGGTGACCGAGACAAACAGACCTCTGCTTACTTCAGAACAGAGATTCTGGGGCTCGGGAAGCGCCCGGCTTTCCTCGAGACCCCCAGCAAGCAAGTTACCAAGTTTGAACACAGCTCTGCTGGGCGCAAAGCTCAGTTTCTTTTCGAGGTTCTGCTGTCCTTCAGCCATCTAGACGGGCAAATTGGCCAAAGAATTGATACCTGCTTAGTTCTTGCTTTCAGAAATAAGCCGGTCCAGCGAAGCGCCTGCACCAGAATGCAGGGGAGCGGCTAGGGTCAGTGCCGGCCGGCAGTGGTCACTCGCGAAGAGGCACAGCCTGGGAAGGGAGTCCTCGGGCAACTGGTCGTTGTGCGAACGCCCTTGAGTGCAGCCCACCATGCTCCTGGGTCGGGCCTTGGCCGGGGGGTGGGGGAGTGGGGGGTCCTCCTGCCCCTGACCAGGTGTCACTGCCTGGCCGCGGCCGTCCAGGCGTGACCATCACATGAGGCGTGACCGCGTGTCCCGAGACTGCCCTGAGCCGGGCCCTGCTCGCCCTTCGCTGCCCAGGGAGTAGCCGCTCAGTGCCCTCCTGCAGGATGAGGGCGGCCAGAAAAGCAGCAGCCACTGGTCCCCCTTGAGTCCCAAACAAGCCACGCGCGCCGTCCCGATACAAGTGCACCCCACTGTTGCAAGGACGCACCTCCTCCTGAAAGCCGCCACGCTTATCTGAAATTCCAGTCTGAGCGTCCCGAGCTCCGCGTGCTGATTCTGGCACCCACCCTGGGGGGGGGGGGCATACCGGGAGTCTCTCGCTGGCGCTCGGGCCCAAGCCTTGCTCTAGTGGGAGTTGCCATGGCAGCCTGCGCGGGCCTTCTGGAGCACAGTCTCCCCACCTCCCGCCTCTCCGCGCCCCTGCACCCCCACGCTCTGAACATGCTGCGTGCTTTCGGTTTCCTGGATGCGTCACGCTGCTTGCGGCCAGGTCTAAGCACTCGATGTGCTCTGCGTCCTCGCCCCTCTCCCCTCGCCTGGCTGAGGCTCGCAGAAGCCCGGGTCCCCCTCAGGGTCCCCTCTGCCGCGAAGCCTTCCTGGGTCCCTGGGCCATCTCTGGCCGTAATCCTCTGGCCGTGGGTGGCTGGTCCCTGTCCCTTCCCAGGGCAGCGGCCGCTTCTGACCACACTGCCCTGCAGGGTGGGGCTCTGACACACCATTGCTGTCACACGCACCGATGCCACACGGCCACAGCCTCCCCACACCCGGAACCCAGGCGGTCAGGAAGCGCTTAGCCCATGAATGAGCGAAGGAAGGAAGGAATGGAGACCACCCCGCCGGAGCGGGGTCTCTCCAGCGTGGGTGCTCCCTTCCCCGTTCCAGCTTTACTCGTGGGGCACCTCTGCTGCCTCCCCCACCCCACCCCACCCCCAGCCCCGGCCAGGAGCTGTGGCAGGGTGTGCAGGGGTAGGTGGGCACACAACATCCTTTCTAGGCTGGACCCAGCTGAGAGAGCTGGGCAGAGGGCGCCCTGACCCACGGTGGTGGGGTAACCCCTGTCTGACCCCCATAGGCAGAGAACCTTGCTCCCTCACCCTAACCCACCTGCCCCTAACCCGGGTCAGGGTCGGTCTTGGGGCAGGTGGGGGGGCGTTCTCCTGCCCTAGCCTTGCGCCCCGCCCGCCTGCTCATGGCTCGCCTGCGGCTTCGCTCAGGTCCACAGGAAGCCCTTCCTCCTCCGGCTGGGAATATTCTGCCCAGGGGCCCCTCAGCGGCCGACTTCTCTCCTCTCCCAGACCCCTCTCCAGGAGTGGACAGGCCAGCGCACCCCTGGCGGGGAGTGGGGCGATGCCAGAGTCAGATGGCAGAGGCTTCGGCAGGTGGTGGGGCCGGGTGGGCTCAGAGCCTCACCCATATGTTCCTGCGCCCCCACCAAGACTTTGCCCACGCACAGCCTGACAGCAGGAGGAGGCTTAACCCTTAGGGGCTCGGAGAGTTTCGCAGAGAAGCAGGTGGCCGTGAGTGTCCACCGCGGTCCCACAGTGTGCCCCGGGCGTGCATGCAACTCACCAGCACCCACTCACAGTCAGCCCCGGCACCCACTGACAGCGACACTGGCACACTCAGGGCCACACACACCAGCCCCAGCCTCTGCTCCCCGCCAGTCCTGCTGTTCTGGGGCTCCAGCAGAAGCTGCCCTCTTGGGCAAAAAATAGCTTTGGTGGCGGAACAGCGGGTTGTGGGTGCCCCAGGGAGGGCAGGCATTAGGCATCCGGCTGCAGCCCCTCTCCGGGTGCTGTCTCCTGTGACCCCCCCAACTCCCCTTCCGAATGTGTTGAAAGGACAAAGAGAGCGACACCATCAGCCCCACGCGAACTCCCCAAACAGCACCCCTGTGCCTGCCCGAGGCCGGTCCCGGGAACTCCGTCCCGTCCAGGTTCCCAGAATCGGGGCTTCACCCCGCAGCCCCTTCCTCCCGGGCCAGACTCCAACTTTCGGCGCCGCTCAGTGCGGTGCCAGGGCACTCACCGGAGGGAAGCGCCGGCCGGCGGCCCGGGCTCCTCGGCGCGGCCAGGTGAGCTCGGCGGTGGGCACAGGTGAGCGGGGGCGGCGGCAGGTGGGGCGCGCGGCGGCTGTGGAGGCCTCCGCGGTGCGCGAGGGCTGACAGGTTTGCGCTTTCCCCTCTCGGCTCCTGCTAGCCACACCCCTGCAGCTCGCCTCCCCACTTCCTTAATGGGTGGGGTGTGTCGTCGAGTGCCGAGCGCGCCGCTCCAGTCTCTTACCATAAACTCTGCAATAGACGCCGCCGGCCAATTCCCGGAGCTGCACGTGCGCCGCGGGACGCCTCTAGCACCCCCTTATTGCCAGTGGGGTCTACTGCTGGGGGCCCCAAGTCCTGCCCTCCTCTTGCACACTCCCAGCCGGTGGCTGGCTTCCTCCCTGGG